AATGGAAGAATCATGGAAAGCTGTGTAAAATAACAGTAATGTTGTTTTTGTTTCCTGGAATAATGCGTCTCTTTGGGATAATTCTTGTTTCATCAAACACTTCCCCGCCTACTTACTTGAGCAGGCAAGTAGTGGGAAGAGATGAAAAATATCATATCATAAGAGCAAATTCTTACTTTCCATGAAAATAATTCATATTCTGGAATTATAAAAATAATTCCAGATATGACTCATGATGCATTCAGGGCTGTATTGATTCAGAAACATAAGCCTAGAAAATCGTGCTTGCAACATGAGGGTATGTTTGGTGGGTTGAAGTGGGCAAAAGAAGCATGCCAAAAAAAAAAGACATGAAATAAATAGACACAAAATTCAAATGATTCACCCAACATCTTCCATCTGGATATGGTGCAATTTGCGAATACTCTTCCACCCATTTCCCCAGAATTGGAAACTCCATGGAGGAGCAAAATAAAAGGATGAATCTTCAGCAAGATAGGAAGAAATCTGGGAAAAGTCACTCTAGTCCTTAAAGCCAATCACATTCTCCAACTTGAGATACATTCAACTCCAAAGGACAAAACACATCTTCATGCACTGCATGTTCTGACAGTCTACTCTAGGTGAATTGCTGCAAAATGAAATATGTCTTGGCATATAAAATTTGTTCATGGGATATGGATGTTTCTGGCTGGACCAGCACTTGTTACCCATCCCTTGTGTTCCATGAGAAGGTGGAGGTGTGCTGCCATGTTGAACTGATGCAGTCCATATCCCATGGATACGCTCTCAGTGCTGTTGGGAGGGACTTCTCAGGTTATAAACCAGAATGTCAAAATGTTTCCAAGTTAGAATGGTGAGTGGTTTGGAGGGGAGCGTACAAGTGATGGAATACCCCATGTATCTACTGCCAGTGTCCTGTGAGATGGAAGTGGTTACAGGCTTAGAAGGTGGTGTCTAAGAAGCGTTGGTGCATTTCTGCAGTGCATATTCTAGATGGTGCACAATGCTGTCACTGAGCATTGCTAGTGGCGTGAGTAAATGTTTTTGGATGTTATGCAAAACAAGCTATGTTTGGGATTGCATCAAGCTTCATGAGAGTTGATGGAGTTGCCCTCATCCGAGCAAGTGAGGAGTATTCCATCATACCCCTGACTTGTGATTTCTAGATAGATGGGGGACAGATTTTGGGGAGTCAGGAGTTACCTGGTGCAACATTCCAAGCCTTTGACCTGTTCTTGTAGTCACTGTATTTCTATGACGTGTTTAGTTCAGTTTCTGGTCAGTGGTAAACCCGCACCCCAGAATATTGATAGTGGGAGATTCAGTGATTGTAATGCCATTAAATGTCAAGAGACAATGGCTAGATTCTCTTTTGTTGGAGATGGTCATTGCCTCCTGCTTGCATGGAGCGATTGTCAACCTACGACTTGTCAGTTGAAACCAGGATATTGTCCAGGCCTTGCTTCATTTAGACATAGATTGCCTCAATATCTGAGGATTTGCGAATAATGCTGAATATTGTGGAATGAACATTCACACTTTTGACCTTATGATGAATGGAAGATCATTGATAAAGCAGCTAAAGATGATTTGGCCCAGGTCATTACCCTGAGGAGCTCCTGAAATGATATCTCAGAGGTGTGATGACTAACCTCCAGAAATATAACCATCTTCCTTTGTCCTAGTTATGACTCCAACCAACAGGGAGAGTTTTCTCCTTGATTCCCATTGGCTCTAGTTTTGCTGGACTCCTTGATGCCACTCTTAATCAAATGCTGTGTTAATGTCAGCCTGCACAGTCACTCCAAGGTTCTATGCACGCTGATTGATGTGATCAGTGCGATGGTGCATTGACTTCCAGGTTTGGAAGTCGCTGCTATGTAGGGACTTCAGAGATCTGTCCATTGATAAATGCATAACAATGTCAGGCTATTGGTTGACTCGTGAGACAGGTCTCCCAATTTTGGCACTAGTCCCAGATGTTAGTAAGGAGGACTTTGCAAGATCGTCAGGGCTATGTCTGCCCTTGCCACGTCCACTGCCTAGATTAACGCCAGTTGGTCCATCCGATTTCATTCTTTTTTGAGACTTCTGGCAGTTTTGACTTGCTAGACCATTTAGAGGTCAGTTAAGAGTCAACCATATTGCTGGAGTCACATCTAGGCCAGACCAAGTGAGTGCAGCAGATTTCCTTCTCTGAAGGAAAACCACATAGAGAACCAAATGGGTTTTCATGGCAATGTTTCATGGTCATCATTCAAGTTAATTCCAGAACTTTTTTTTTTAATGCCACCATTTGCCATGATGGGATTTAAACCGCATTCTGAAAAAAAGTACCTAGGTTCAAGTACCTAACACCACGACCCGTCATTTCCCCTTACATTAATAGCTTAGAAATTCCATTAAAACATTTTTAGAGTGACACATAGGTTTAGGAAATAATCCCTGTGCTTGAAAAGACAGGTCGAAGAATTGGTCTTTAGGCTTATTTATGTATTCCAACTGAGTTGCTGTTGTTGCGTCTCCATAGGCAACTTGTCCTTTCAATAGATTCAATTTTGCGCTGTTTGCCTCACTGGAACAGGTAAATTTTCAGAGAGGAAGGAAGTGGAATAAATGGGATCTGATTGTAAGCAGTAGGAGCCCTATCTCAGACCCTGCCTCAGGTCCTAATTGAGAGCTAGTTACTTTGACATATTACAGCTTGCTTGACAACTGAAGCATGAAGTAGAATATTTTTTCTTCTAAGTATTTTGCAGGTAAAGCAAAAGATTGCATTTCTGGCGCTAGGTGAAATCAACATTATATATGCTTTTAGATATTTTGTAATCAACATGTTCGGAGACGTAATTCCCATGAGCCAGAAAATAATAGTTTTCTGTTAGAAGTGTATTTTTTTTATCCCTTAGAAAACGTAAAGGAGTGATTTGATTGCACTGCTCTATGTTTAGTACCGCTTAAACTTTGTCAGTAAAATCCAACTAAAGTTTACATATTAAAATGTTTTGTCCTATGCAGCAAAATGCAAATGAATGTGAAGTCAAACCTCTCAGCTACATAACCACAAATGACAGCTCCCCACCCCTTTCATCTTCCATTGTAATTACATTTGTTGGTGGGCAGTCTTTTAAACAGGTTTCCCAGTTTATTTTTAAATATAATCTGTGTTAGAAATAGTAATTGTTGTGAGATAGTCACAACAGTGACTACACTTCAAAAACGTTAAGTGGTGTCTGGTAAAGAAGTGTTAAGTATCAGTAGTGAGTGATGGTTGGAACATGTATGATATTTTATGACATAAGGGAGTAGAGATGAATGTTGCTAATCTGACTATTTCAACTATGTGAAATGACTGGAGAATAATAAATAAACAGGCAAAGATGCACTATGTACATGCAAGAGTTTGAGGATACTGTGTGATCCCAGAAATGCTCATGTATTAACCTTATACACAGCTAAGGTACTTACATCTTCACAGGATCACAAAACTATTACAGTGCAGAAGTAGGCCATTAGGCCCAGCATGTCTGCACTAGCTCTCTGAGCATTTTGACTTCTGCCTTTTCCCCATGAACCTGCACATTGTTCATTTTTTAAAAAAAATCATCTAATGTCCTCTTGAATGCGTCAATTGAACCTATCTCCACCACTCTCAATGGCACTTATGTATTAGCACTGAATTCATTTTACATTTTGAATAGAATAAAAATGGGACACCACAGGTACTTTTCTGGAATTGTAACTCATCAGGGCTATTCAGGACTATTCAGGACTCTACAGTGGTCAAACAGCTCAGTGTATATATTCCTGATGAGTTTATTGATATGAGATTGGTGCTGATCCCAAAAGCATGACATGCATTGAACTTATAATGATTGACAAATAAATTGTGTTAATCAGATGTTTCTCTAGTTCTTGAGTCCTCCAGCCTTCACTGTATCAAAGGAAAAGTATGGTCTAAAAATGTCAACCAGTAAGATATTCATTTTAACATGTCAAAATTGGCGAGTATAGACTCAAAATTGTTAGATACACATTTTGTGCAGTTAATGTCGATACTGTGCCTGTTGCAACTTTTATGCAGAGCTAAAATTGGCTGTCCAAAGTGTCTGCTTATATCAATGGGTGGGATCCTTGAAAGATTAAAATTAATTTCCAATGATGAATGTAGGCCTTGATAACTAACTTTATGAACTGGTCAGAGTACATCTACTAGTGATAGTCTCAAAGAGGCCCTGATTAAGTAAGTTACAGGCTATTTTTGTAGGTACAGAAGGAAAATGAATCACGTTCCAATGAAGAATGAATATTCTTACCCTTCCTTTGTGATCTCATGATCCATCCCCTCTGGATTTACAATTTTGTTTATGTAACTGGAGCCCACGGCTCTAGCCATTTCACAGCCAGGAAATGGGTGGGAATGGCTTCTGACACACTTTTCCAGTTGACCACCCCAAAAGTAACACTGACCAACTAAAACTCCAGTTTGATAGAGTAGGTCAGTTGTCAGCTCCTTATTTCAATCCGCATAGAGGCCAGGGTGAACACACAAAGAGTGAGCGAGCTTGTTTTGTCTTGGTTTCTAGAAATTTGTTAGACCTGGTGAGGAAGCCGTGCCTATATGTTAGTTGATGGGCATTGCCCTTTATGATCAGTGGGTGGATTTCTAGCCAGAGGTGGTCGGCTACACTGAAGTACTCTCCAAAACTGAGTACTAGACAGCTCACTATTTCTCCAGCACCGTGCGGAGAATATGCTGTTTAGCATATGACCCAGCTGTACTTTAACCACATTTTATCAAATAAAATCTCACTGAGTTGTGTCTGGTTAAGATTAAAGATGCTAAATTTGATGTTTGTAAAGGAGCTACATTGTTGACATCAGTTGGGTTCTTTTGAAAACATTTTTTTTATCACACTGCTGTCATCTTGCTCCCATTCATTTGCTGGTTTTGTATCCAACAGAAAACAATGGCGCCCTTGTCAACAATCACTGGACTGCTTATTGTGATGGGACTGCACCTTCTATTTTAAGGGAACCAATCAGTCAAGAAACTAAGGCTGGAATGTTTCTCGTTTCTGCCATTACCATTGGCTGCTGGTAAGATGCAATTGTAATTGGTTCATAGTGATCACATGCACACGCATTAGTAGTTGCTTTCAATGCAGACAGTGTAGGCAAGCAGGAAAAAAAATCTGAAAGGAAAAGATAAACCAGTTAATTATAGACTGTGGCACTCACCAAGCAGCTGCCCACTTATTGCTTCAGGTTCCGAAATCCAGCTCTGATAAAGCTTCAGATAGAAAGCTTAATGATACAAATACTGGAATGCAAGGCTCTTAAGGGTCTGATTTAATTCACAGTTCCTGAACATTGTTCACTGGAAGAGAGGAGTTCACTGCCTTTGAGCTGTAACATGCAATGGAATAATATGAGGTTGCAGATAAGTCTCATTTCAGGGTAGCAACACAAAAAGAATTGGGGGAAGCTAAGGCTTCACATAGGGCTCACTTTGCTCACTTTTCATTTTGCTGAAACTGAATGGAGTTGACAATCCATTACATTCCAAACAATCTGATCAATTTCATTATTTTCCGAATACTGTATTCAATTTTCCTTTTTCCACAAGACCATAAGATGTAGGAGCAGAATTAGGCCATTCATCCCAATGAAACTGCTTCATTATTTGATCACGACTGATATATTTCTCAACACCATTCTCCTGCCTTCTCCCTATAACCTTTGATTCCCTTACTAATCAGAAACCTATCTATCTCTGTCTAAAATACACTCAATGACCTGCCCTCCACAGCCCTCTGTGGCAATGAGCTCCACAGATTCACCATCCTCTAACTGAAGAAATTTCTCATCTCAGTTTAGAGGGCCATCCCTTCACCTCTGGTCCTAGTCTCTCCTACTAAGTGGAAACATCTTCTCCACATCCACTCTATCCACGCCTCTCAGTATTCTGTGAATTTCAATGAGAACCTCTATCATTATTCTGAATTCCATTGAGTACAAACCCAAAGTCTTCAATCGCTCTTCATATGACAAGCCCTTCATCCCCAGGATCATTCTTGTAAACGTCCTCTGGACACCCTCCAATGTCAGCACATCCTCCCTGAGACACAGGGCCCAAAACTGCACACAAAATTCTGAATGGGGTCTGACCAGAGCCTTATACAGCCTCATCAGTACATCCCTGTTCTGGTATTCTCGCCTTCTTGAAATGAATGCTAACATTGCATTTGCCTTCCTGTCTACCAACTGAACCAGCAAATTAATTTGAAAATAATGCTGAACTGGGACTCCTAACCCCCTTTTTAACTTCAGATTTCCAAAGCCCTTCCCCATTTAGAAAATAGTCCACGCCACTATTTTTCTGATGAGTGCATAATCTCACTCTTTCCCAGGTTGTAATCCATCTGTCACTTCTTTGCCCATTCTCCTAGCCAATCCAAATCCTTCTGCAGCCTCCCCACCTTCTCAATGCCTGCGTGGTACCTTGTCAAAGACCTTCTGGTAATCCAAATAAAGCACATCTTTGACATTACCTCATAAAAGAATTCGTACAGATTTGTCAGGCATGATCTCCACCTGACAAAGCTGTGCAGACTCAGCCCTATTTTCCCATGCACTTCCAAATACGCTGCAATGTCATCCTTAATAAAGGACTCTAAAATCTTACCAATGACCAAGGTCAGACTAACCAGATATATAGTTTCCTGTCTTCTGCCTCCCTCCCTTCTTAAACAAGTGTGTTACATTAGCCATTTTCCAGTCCTCTAGGACCCTCCCTGACTCTTGAAAGATCACCACAATCTCCTTCAGAACCCTGAAGTGTAGTACATCTGGTTTGGGTGATTTATTTAGCATAAGACTTCTCAGCTTGCCCAGCACCTACTCCTTAGTAATGGCCACGACACTACTTCTGTTCCCTGACTCTCATAGTGTTCTGGTATGATACTGATGTCTTACACCATGAAAATTGATGCAAAGTACCTGTTCAGTTTCTCCAGCATTTCTTTGTTCCCTATTACTACTTCTCTTGTTGTGGGTGGTTGGCTTGCTGAGTTGGTTCGTTGTTCCGCTGACATTTCATTACCCTGCTGGGTAACATCATCAGTGCAGCCTTCAATGAAGTGCTGTTGTGTTTTCCCGCCTGTTGTTTAAACTCAGGTGTCTGTTGAGCTGGATTACCTCACTTCCGGTTTTCCTTTGCAATGGAGTGTATATGGGGTCTAGCTCTATGTGTTTATTGATGGCTTTCTTAGCGGAGTACCAGGCTTCTAGGAATTCCCATGCTTGTCTCTTCTTTGCTTGTCCCAGGATCCTGGTGTTGCTCCAGTCGAATTGGTGGTTCTCCTTATCCACATAGATGGAGATGAGTGACAATTGGTCGTGTCTTTTTGTTGCCAATTAATGTTCGTGTACCCTTGTGGTTAATTTCCTTCCTGTTTGTCCAAATATACTGTTTGTCGCAGTCTTTGCAGGGAATCTTGTACATGACATTGGTCCTGTCCATAGTGGGTAGTGGGTCTTTGGTCCGGGTGAGCAGTTGGTGTAGGGTTGATGTGAGTTTGTGTGCTACTCTGGTGCCGAGTGGTCATAGGAGTCTTGTGGTCAGTTCAAATGTGTTCTTGATGTAAGGTAGTGTGGTGAGTGTGTCGGGGCGTGTAGTATCTTCCTGGTGTCGTTCGTGTGATTGGCATCTTCTGACCCAGTATTTCGGGTATACTTTGTCTTTGAATACTTGGAAGAGGTACTCTTCTTCTTCTTGGCGTAGTTCTGTGCTGCTGCAGTGTGTTGTTGCCCGTTTAAATAATGTTGTCATGCAACTTCGTTTGTGGGTGTTAGGGTGGTTGCTATTGAAATTCAGTTCTTGGTCAGTGTGTGTGACTTTCCTGTGTACCTTTGTTAGGAATTCCCCATTTGTTCTGCATTCCACCATGACGTCCAGGAATGGGAGCTATTTGTTCTTCTCCTCTTCTCTGGTGAATCTGTTCCCGGTGAGGGTGTTGTTTATTCGTTCATGTGTCTCCTCTGTTCAATAATGATGAAGGTGTCGTTCACGTAGCATATCCATAGTTTCGGTTGGATTAGCGGAAGGGCCATACTTTCAAGTCCCAGCATCACCACTTTAGCTATTAGTCCGGAGATAGGTGATCCCATGGGTGTCCCATTGATCTGTTCATATATTTAAAGGTGAAGTGGGTGGTGAGACATAGGTCCAGTAGCTTCAGCATTACTTAAATGGGCAACAACACACTGCAGCAGCACAGAGCTACGCCATGAAGAAGAAGAGTATCTCTTCCAAGTATTCAAAGACAAAGGATACCTGAAAAACTGGGTCAGAAGATGCCGATCATATGCACAACAACAGGAAGATACTACACACCCTGACACATTCATCGCTCTACCTTACATCAGGAACACATCTGAACTGGCCACAAGACTCCTATGACCATTGGGCATCAGAGTAGCACACAAACCCACATCAACCCTACGCCAACTGCTTACCTGGACCAAAGACCAATACCCACAATGGACAGGACCAATGTCATATACAAGATTCCCTGCAAAGACTGCAACAAACATTGCATTGGACAAACAGGAAGGAAATTAACCACAAGGGTACATAAACATCAGTTGGCAACAAAAAAGACACGACCAATACTCACTCGTCTCCATCCACATGGATAAGGAGAACCACCAATTCGATTGTGACAACACCAGGATCCTGGGACAGGCAAAGCAGAGACAAGCACGGGAATTCCTAGAAGCCTGGTTCTCCACTGAGAAAGCCATCAATCAACACATAGAGCTCGACGCCATATACACTCCATTGCGAAGGAAAACCGGAAGTGAGGTAACCCAGCTCAACGGACACCAGAGTTTAAAAAACAAGTGGGAAAACACAACAACACTTCATCGGAGGCTGCACTGATGATGTTACCCAGCAGGGTAATGAAATGTCTGTGGAACAACGAACGAACCCAGCGAGCTAACCAATCACAACATCCGCAACCCAAGCTACAAATCTACTCCAAAAATTTCTCTTGCCTTATTTTTCAGAATCCACTCTTGCCTCTTTCTTACTTTGTATATAGAAAAAAACTCTTGCAATCTTTTTTTACATTGCTAGCTGCCTTGCTGTCATATTTCACCTTGTCCCCTTTAGTGCTTTTTTAGTTGTCCTCTTCTGGGTTTTAAAGATTTCCCAATCATTTTGTAAGGTGTTAAAAATGCACTCAACATGGACATGTTTGTATATTTTTCCCTTAAGCAGATACAATTTTTTTGCTTTTCAAATTGAAACTGAACTACCTCTAAAGTTGGGAAAGGCATTTCTTAAGGTGGAATGAAGACCAAAAGATCACATGTGCAATTTCCCTGTTTCTATTGAGTTATGAAACCTCACAGAGTTGGAATCATATAATTAATTTCAGCAACATTGAGCTAGGAAAGGAAAAGGGTCCAACCACTATTCAGTGACCCTAAGTAAAAATGCTCTTCATAAACGCAAAGCCTACCAAAACTCACTGTCCAAAATAACCCCAAAGGATCACTTTGGCTGCTGGCATCCAGGAGTATTCGAGACAGAAAGGGGCAAAAGGAAATCAACTGGATGATGGAAAATATTGTAAAGTTTGCAAAATTATCAGATAAAATGTATAGTCAGATCAGATGTTGCTTTTTGTGTTCTGTATGTTTTATTCCTTCTGTTTACTGGTATTTTTTTCCCTTTAGCTTTGTTCTCACTTTACTGTTTCTGGTTCTGCTTCCCTTATTGTGTTTACCTGACGTTCATCCTCTGAGTCCTCTACTGGGCTGAGGCCCCAAAGTAAGTCATGAATATATATCCAAGTATTCTTCGACAAAATTAACACTTCTCTTACACTGTTCCCCGAGAACCTTAACCGACAGCACCAAAAATTATAAGGACGCTGAAAATAACTGCTGGCATTTTCAATAGGCTTAAAACTAGGCCAGTACTACATTTAAATAAAAGGAAAGTCATCTCATTGTCATGTCTGTATTGGCCCAGAGAGGCAAATCAAACATTCATCAGCAAATTCTATTTTATGCAAGAATGAGCACAAAACAAATTTGCATACCCAACTCCTGAGATTGAGTAGATAACTTGGACTGAGACTTCAGGACAACTTTGGTGAGTAATTCGTTGTTCAATGAGCTGTCTGTTTGATGAGATGTTAAAACTGATCTCTCAAAGATTATGTTAATACTCAATGTTAATGAGAGGACTTCTCCCCACTGTTCTGGACATTATCTGTAAACCCACATTACTTTTCAAGATTTCCTGGATATTGCCTTAGTGCTGTGTGTAAATTGGTTGCGGCATTTTCCTACATTACAGTAGAAACTACACTTCAAAACTACTCTTTGAGGTGACCTCTGGATATTAAAACCTCTGTGCACATGAAAGTCAAGTTATTCTTTATATAACCAGGTTGTTAATGAATAGATAATTGGCCATAATTTATTTCTAAAAGACCAAATTTTATGACAAGCCAGTTTGACTGATGGCTGATATGTTACTGAAGAAAGTATTGCTGAAAGTGAACCATGCTATTCTGTAAACTGTAAACTTGTCACTTCACATGTACTTAAATTGCCAGAGAGTTCAGAAGCTGCTGAATTGGTGAATCATGTGGCCATTACAATGTTCCGATTGTGATTTTTCTCTGTGAAGGTGGCTTTGAGCCAATGTACTCCACACTTATCAGGCTGGGAGAAAAGAAAACATCAGGGATAGTCGTTAGTCACCTTTCTGGATCTGCCAGAAAGCCAGCTGGTACATAGGTACTGGGTTAAACAAACAGACATTAATAGCTAAGCAAGGAGATTCTGCTGCCTAACAAGCATATATTGTTACATTTTTGGAAATATGTAGTAATATCAGGCCCAGCAGCCAGGCACTACGTGAAAGTAATAAAGTCATTACTGCATGAGTTCCTCTCCCTACGTGCAGGTACCCCCATTTCAATATTCAGCTCACTTATGCTTTATAACAGGTTTGGAAAATTACTGTCATTATTTTGAATAAAAGAGTGCAAAAGAGCAACTCTTCTTACGCATTATGTTAGCATATTTTTGATAAATCTGATGTTATTGAAAATGGTATCATTTCAGCACAAATAATTTTGTTACACAACTCACATCATTGCTAGTTTTTATAAAGCACAGAATGTAGTGAAATTATTAATTTGTACATAAAGAAAATCAGGGGTCGCGGAAGATTTCATTTCCATTGTGAAGAAAAACACACCTTTATGAGATTACCAACATTTTAGTAATTACTAAAAGTTTTTTTATTATTGACATTAAATAAATACAAAAGAAAGTGAAAATAAACTTTGTGACTGATTCAGATGAACGTTTTAAAATGAGATCATAATTTACTTTACCTGATGGTTTGTCAAGAGCCATGAATCTGAGTTACATCTTTCCTCAGGAGACCAACAGTAAAGTTCCAATAGGCTGGGCCCTGAATTTATCAAATCTCCAACATATTGGGCCTTGATCTATGAACGCAAATTTGAAAATCTTAAAGCAACATCTACTACCTTTCAAGCTATTCCAGTCTGGGGTGACTGTCTGTGTGGAGTTTGCACATTCTCCCTGTGTCTGCATGGGTTTCCTCCGGGTGCTCCGGTTTCCTCCCACAGTCCAAAGATGTGCAGGTTAGGTGGATTGGCCATGCTAAATTGCCCATAGTGTTCAGGGAGATGTAGATTAGGTGGGTTATAGGGGGATGGGTCTGGGTGAGATGCTCCGAGGTTCGGTGTGCACTTGTCGGGCCGAAGGGCCTGTTTCCACACTGTAGGGATTCTATGATTCAACAAATTATGCAGTCAGTGTCAGTCTGCACTACTGCTCAACTCTACAGTAGTGTTGCAGGCAGTCTGCTTTTTCTGGTTGATGCAACTCCTTGCCTATTGCATACAGTACCTGTCATTGGCAAAGAAGCCTTTGTTCTTTATTCAGCACCTCACTAAACAAATGTTGCAACTATGTATGTTGAGCACTGCACCATTTTCTGTATTACAGTATGTTTATCCTCAACAAATGTCTGCACAGAGAATGACATGATCAGCTAATTAATTGCTCTACTATTGTCCATGGAGCTGGCTTGAAGCGATATATATGATAGAATGAGTTGGTGTTAAAGAAGTAGACCTGAAAACCCACAGCACACTGACACAGGTCCTACACCATTTTTTTAGGAATTGCATCGAAAGACAAGAAAATAGTGTTGAATGTTCTGTTTTACAGGATCCCAACTGGCCTTTGGAAGTAGACTTCTTCTGTACCAGAAGCCAATTGATTACTTAATACCAGATTTGTTTAAAGTATGCAACATAACGTATGTCTTTCTCTTCCCGAGCCACCACCCAGGGCTTGAGGATTTTACAGATCAATCTGTCTTGGCATTATATGTTACATCTTTGAGACAGGTGAGAATTGAACCTGGAATTCTGACCCAGAGGTAGGGACACTAACACTGCACCATCAGACAATCCCACCTCCCCTCGTTACTCAAGTGCTCAAGATACTTAATTCATCAATGCCCTTCACTTGTGTACCTTTAACCTTCATAAACAGACCATGAACATTGATATAACTAATGCTGCTGGCTTTCTGCTTGGGAAAGTGATGGCAAGGTGTCTCAGGCCGGATTCTTCATAGATTCCACTTTCTTTAATGAGCCAAACTGGCCATCAAATTCAAAGTAGATTCCAGGTCTCAGGCTGGAATCAAAACTATTTCTGATGCGGAAAATGTCTTTGTTCAGTCCTGCCTCCCAATCACATCCTAACAGGAGGGGCTATATTTAGCATGGACAGTGTTTCCATTTGGCTGAGATCCTGAGAAAACTGGGACACTAAAGAATTATGAAGTTCGTAGGTAAAGGAATTCGTGCCTCATTACTTCATTTGGCATCCAGGACTCAACTTCCTTGTCTGGACTACCATTGGAGATTTTTGAACCTTTAGTTTTTAAACCACTACATCTTCCTGTTCCAAGTACCTCTTATTCTCATGACTAGAAACATAGAAACATTTTGCTGGAATTGTTAATGAACTTTTCACTGAAGTGCTATTATCTATTTGAAGGGAAGGAAATTCATGGAAGTACATTTAATTGTGATCATATTTTCCTTTGTTCCTGAATACAAAGCAATGTGCATCACTGAATATGACAATACTTTGGATTAGCCAAAGGCACTCCGGACTCTGTTCATCCTGTTACAGACTTATTTCTTCAACTTATCATGCAGTTTTCTTTAATAGACTTAAATGCTTTTGCTTGAGGATATAGTTTGAGATACAAAAGAGCCAAATGCATCAATTTGAAAGTCAAATAATTTTGATCAAACATCATGCCAGAATTGAACAGCATCAAGGCCGTTTCGACAATGCAGATAGTTAGTGTGAGAGTCTAGGATACTCTGTTAGTGCCTCAATGTCAACATGTCAGCAGCTCCTTGAAACTGATGAAATGTCATTTCCCATTAGGCTCTCGCATTCAAGAGAAGCAGGAAGTTCAAAACAACTGCACTAAATGAAAGCATAAGTTCAAACATAATGATACAATAAAAAAAAAACTTGACATATTCTTTCTAACCTAAAACAATTTAATTACAAATGCTGGATCATTTGTTTAAATCTCCAATTTGCTGTGTTGTTTCTGTTACATAATTCAGATTGTTGGATCATTCTTTAACTTCAGTGTGAGGTCAATTTATAAGTGTCAGAAATAGCCTGTTAACTGAGAGGCCTGAAGATTGACCAAAACTGAGCCTGAGGCCTCAGTTGCCTATTAGAAGAGCTGCATTTTGATTATTTTACACCTCCAGACACTGCCCACCTGTTCCCTGCATCCAGCCTTAAACCAACTGCATTGTTAACAACTGCTGCCTGGTAAATTCCACGCATACCACAACTTCAAGAGAGTCGGGAGCAGAGGTGAGTGGCCATCACTACAGAAAAGGTGGTGGGGAAGCTGACAGATCTGAAGATTAGAGACATTGATGGTAATCTTTCAGGAATCACTGGAGTCAGGGAGGGTCCCAGAGGATTGGAAAATGGCTAATGTAACACTCCTGTTGAAGAAAGGTGGGAGGCAGGAGACAGGAAACTATAGTCCAGTTAGCCTGACCTCAGCTGTTCTGTTTTTAAGAGTCCATTATTAAGGATGAGATTGCAGAAAACTTGGATATGCATGGTAAAATAGGGCTGAATCAGTGTGGCATCATCAAGGTGAGGTCATGCCTGACAAATCTGTAAGAATTCTTTGAGGTAGAAATGGGGAAGTTAGACAAAGGAGAGCCAGTGGGCATGATCTATTTGGATTTCCAGATGGCATTTGACAAGGTGCTGCACAGGAGGCTGCTGAATAAGGTAAGGGCCCATGGTATTAGGGCCAAGGTACTGGCATAGATAGAAGATTGGCTGGCTGGCAGAAGGCAGAGAGTTAAGATAAAGTGGTCTTTTTCAGGATGGCAGCCAGTGACTATTGGAGTTCCACAGGGATCAGTGTTGGAACCACAACTATTCATGTTATACATTAACGAACTGTTGCAAGGAACTGAGAGTATTGTTGCTTAGATTGCAGATAGTACAAAAACAGGTAGAGGAACAAGTAGTGTTGAGGAGGCTGCAGAAGGACTTGGACAGGCTAGGAGAGTGGCCAAAGAAGTGGCAGATGGAATACAGTGGGAAAGTGTGAGGTTATGCACTTTGGCAGGAAGAATACAGACATGGACTATTTTCTAAATGGGGAAAGGCTTTGGAAATCTGAATGACAAAGGGACTTGGG